GTCTCAGCGGCATAAAGTCCAATCTTCAAGATTGGCCCGTGGGGATTTTATTGATTGATGATAATGCCCGACTTTTTATCGTTTTTTGGAGAACCAATAAGCATCCTTAAAATGACTGGGGAATGCCTGGAGTACGGCAGCATTTCTCCTCCGGGGCTGCTGGTTGAAAGCGAACGGCGGGAAGAGCGCTGAGGGGAGCGGATAGACTGAACAGGGCGGGCGGCTGAGTAGCTGATGCTTACCGTGTAAATGTAGCTTTACCGACGAACCGCACAATAAATTTCATATCCCGGTCTGAAGAAACGGGTGGCGGAGCGCATCGTACATGGCTGGTAGATGAGTTTCTGAGTGTGACCAGTGAAGGTGTCGTAAATATCCCGTATTTACGACACCATTACGTATTTGGATTCACCAAAATGTCATCAGTCTCCTGTTTCAGCACAAGCTGCTCTTCATCTTGACTGATGCAGAGTGGCTTCTCTTCCTCTTTAAGCTGTTGATGTTCTGGTTCTTCTTGCTCCTGTTTTATCTGCAGAGGTTCTGGTTCCTGTTTTATCTGCACAGGTTGTGTTTCCTCTTGTTTAAAGTGGAGTTGCCCTCCTGGTTGCTGAGCTCATTGAGAACCCCGTCCTCTTTACACACGCAGCATTGACAGAGATCTGGACCAAAACACAAAACAAAAACTTTACATTCTGAGTCAAACTATGAATACTTCACTTTAATCCAATGATGCATTTGAAAAACCTTTTCTTAGATTAATCTAAAATTACAAATTTTTATGTATAAAAATCTGCATTATGGACATTCTCACCATGTTTCAGGTATAGTTCAAGTTCAGGTATAATTTATCTTCAGACCATGAGTAAAATATGTGCTTGTATTTTTTTATCCCACATATGTAAATATCTCACTTTAACGCTTGAGTTTTAAAAAAAACTTCAATTTTTTTCCATTATTTATTAATAAACAGCACTGCAAACGTCTCTATTGTCATGAGCATCTAATTATTCCTAAAAGATGTGTTTATAGTCGATGCATGTAATCACAGCCCTTCTACCTCCTGCTCTGTCGCTGCTCTATGTTTACCTCAGTCCGGATCGCGCGCCTCCTGTCACTCAAACTGGACACAGGCTGAGCTGTATGTATATTTACATCAAACCCTGTGAGTAGTGATGTTTCTGCATCAAGGTAGGAGTTTAAAACCCACCATGTTAGCTCTGCTTCTGCTGCTCTATGACAGAACCTGCAGTCACCTTTCAGAGGTGCATTAAGCGAGTGGTGAGATTGATTTACGTTTATGAACCAATAATTATGTGCAGCGTTTACATCTCAACACGCTGCCCAGCCTGTGGCTCTGTGTCTGAGCTAGAAAGTTTGTAAGTCTTCCAGGTTGAAAGGTGAGTTAACCACTAACGTTGTGGAGCTTTGCGCTCTCTTCATAGGGATTTTATCTTACTATTATTTTTCCGGTTGCACCATGGATTAAATCATGTCAAATGCTTTGTCCACTTAGTCAGCAGGCTGAGTGGAGATCTGATTCTGAAAAACTTGTCCCATAAAACTCTGTCAACCAGAACAGTTTTTGTGGGCGCTCATTAAAAACTCAATAGACACCAAATGGAAGAGCTGCTAAAGCCACGTTAGGAGAATTAAATTAAAACTCTCATTTCTTGTGCATTTCTGCACAATGCAGCAGATTTAAGTCATCATGAAGAGCCAGTCCAAGGCTGCATGAGGGCTGTTATGTCAACACTTTGTTTTATTTCAATCAATCAAAGCTATAAGGCACCCTTCATGTTGGAGGCAGTTAGCTGGAAATGCATAATAAAGGTTATTTCTGAACTGGGTTCAAAACAATCTAACTTTGATTATTATTATTGGTTTTATATTTGTTTACAATAATATTTGTTAACAATAACCCTAGTTTATGACTAGATATCTCTCTACACTGACTACACTTCAAATATGTATTTGAAATATGTTCAAAGAAAATATGAAATGAATAAATGAAATCAGATTTACTATGATGCTTTATGGAGGTTTAAATTCAAGAAATATACAGTGAATTACTGTCTGAAACATATTTCATAATAGAATATTTAAAAAGAAAATATTTTATTCATAGGCATATTTCTTGATGCTCAAGGACACAGAATAAAATATATAAAATCAATTTTTTTTGATCAGGAGAAAATCTGATGGTCCAAAAGAATCCCCAATATAAAACTGAATTAAAACCACCATACATCTTAAATCTGATGTCATTTAGTCGGGATGTAATTAAATGTACTTCAGACATATTTTGTCTGGTCAAAATCATAATTATATTGTTTAAACATATCTAGTCAGAAACTAATTTTAGATACATAGAGTGAAGAATTGGTATGAGAGAAATGCCTGCCCCATTAAACGCTGATGGACTGTATGGAATAATAATATTATTTAATAGATTTTTTTCATCAACCTGCCCTCCCGAAGTCCAACCAGTTTCTGACGCGTTTATCAGTTGATTTCATTTTGTAAAACATTTATCCTAATTCGGTCTCACAAGGTGTTACTTTAATCTGTCTCGTGTTTTTCCTCCAGCTTTTCTCCGCTTTCGTGCCTCATATCATGTGTAAAACCTGAAGTAGTTTCGTACATATCCGGTGTAAGATGATCTTCGGTGTCCGGGTAAAATCCAGCAGTCTGCGCTGATCCTCCATCTTTTCCTTAATCTTGACGCTGATTTCTTCCAAATCCGTGAATGATATTTCAGCAGGAGTTAACAGCTCGTTGATAAACTCTCTCTGAGGCGGAAATGAAGACATTTTTAAAGCAAATATTCACATATTTACCTAAAACTATCGATGTGCCTTCTGTGCCGAGGCTTCGGGGCGAGTGTCGAGTAAACCAGGAGGAGTTTTAGAAAACATGTATTGAAGAGTTTGGTCTTGGAGCAGGATGTGACGTTTGAAGCCGCGCGACTGGGCCATACCACGTGACTGTATACAATTTAAAAATATATACAAACTACTAAAATGAGCAATTTTCCAAAAAAAAAGAAAAAACTCCACTAACAACCAACCTTTCAATAAAATTCAAATTTATTTTATTACAATATTCAATATCACTGAATATTAAAAGCGAAGAAACGAAGCGGAAAAATCAAAGCGGAACCAAAAGTCCGGGCCACAGTGACAAACACGGAAGATAAAAGACAAAGGATAGATGGTACCATTAACTTTTCTGCTGTAGGACGGTAGTTTGAAGAACGGTTTAGTGTTAAATATTTGAAAGATTTCAGTGGGTGAAATCCGTTCAGCTCAAGTCCGACGAAGAGATGAATGACAAATACGTTCTGTTGGATTCCGCCAGGACACCAGTGATCATTTTACGCCGAATAGGTACGAAAGCCTTAACTTTTTTACTGATATCAAGTACCAAAGTGGACAAATCCTGGACGAAATACGCGAGACAAATAAAAGTAAACAACGCGGGAGACTGTTTTAAATTAGCAGTGAAATGTGGCTAGCCAATTTGGCTATTGAGTCACATAAAAATGCCGGTTTATAAATTCATATAAACTGCTTATAAAAAGTATAAATTCATTGAAAACGCTGTTGTAGGACTCCCTCCTGAAAGTCGAAAATTACTGTTTATTTTGGTCACTCAATGCTGCTTTTTATGCGTGATGACGTTCAAAATGACATTCAGTGACCAAAATAAGCGCGAAAATGTTTGCCGCCTCAGAAATAGATGGTGTTTTCGTAAAATTAGCAAGGTCCCTTCTTCACTTGTCTTATCCACTTAATTTAAACTCGAATCACCCAAAAGGAGAATTAGAATAGCAGACAACACTAATTCACCAGAGATCAACTAGTTTTTTTTTATTTTATTTTTTTTGCTGATTTCATATATTCTATTGTTATCACTGTCGGTCTGTCCTGTATATTAATTTAATTAATCTGGGGCTGAAACGATTCATCGAGTAACTCCAGTAACTCGATTACAAAAAATCCTTGAGGAAATTTATCTGCCACGAAGCTTCGCTAAATTTATTGGGCTCCCCTCAACAGTTTAACTTTCGTCCGTCGTCCAATCCCCCCTAACCCTGATCTATATTGCCAAAAACACATTCCTTTGCTAATTTGAAGAATTAAAGACTTAAGGATGAAATAACTTTTTCTACATAATCAGAGTACTTCCAAGAACTACTGGTCTAAGTTTTATATCAGTAGGATAATATTTGAGGAGAATAGAGACGGGATGCATATTTTGGCAGGCTCAAAGTCTATATTGCCCAAAAATGCATCCCTGTGCTAATAGAAATAAATGGTTAATAGGTAACTTTCTCTACATAATCAGAGTAGTTCCAAGAACTACTGGTATAAGTTATATATCAGTAGGATAATATCTGAGGAGAATAAAGAGGGGATGCATATTGTGGCAGGCTGGAAATCCATATTGCCCAAAAATGCATTCCTGTGGTAATTTTAGAAATAAAGAGTTAAAGTTAAAGCAAACAGCCGATTCGTTCAGAAATTTCTTTCTGTTTCTCACCCTCTTGCTTGAGGATGTCAGTGATGGCCTTCTGGACAGCAGTCAGGTCAGCAGTCTGACCCATGATTGCGGTTTTGAGTAATGAACCAGGCTGGGAGTTTTTAAAGGCCTCAGGAATCTTTTTCAGGTGTTTAGAGTTACTTTGTTGATTCAGATGATTATTTTTATTGCTCGTTCAGAGAACCTTTTCATAATATGCTAATTTTTTGAGACGGGGATTTTGGGTTTTCATGAGCTGTTTGCCAAAATAATCAAAATTAAAACAATAAAAGACCTGAAATATTTCACTTGGTGTGCAATGAATCTAAAATATATGACAATTTAATTTTTATCATTACATTATGGAAAATAATGAACTTTATCACAATATGCAAATTTTTTAGAAGGACCTGTAAATAAAATTACCTTAGCTTGGTGGGTGTGTAAGAAAAGCCTGGTGGCCTGCCAGGCTTATGTAACCCGGGTTAGGGTGTAAATTTCTAGCTTTCATCTACTAATTTTCTCCGGTTTCTCAAACTCTTTATTAAATCACATGATAATCCTGTTAATAGTGTTGCTCTCACGAGACTAGAAAGCAACCAATCACGGCTCAGTTTTAACGGTCACGTGCAGTATTGCAGCCTATCGCCTGGCTATATTAAATTGAGCAGGAAGTTTGAACACTAGATGCGTTGGGGGAAGCAGAGCAGAGCTACAGGTTTGTCGAGCGTCGTCCTTTATGTTCTTCGCTGTATTTTACTTTGTATAAAAATCATCTAACAATAATACCATAGGAGCCGACTACCACCAGACCAGCCAGGAGAGACGTCAGTTATGTGTAAAACAAACGGAGGATCTGGTGAGTGTTTTAACGTAGCGATTAGCAATATGCTGCGCTGTGTAGGACTGAACGAACCCACACCGGGTTGAATAATGAAGTCTTAACCTTTCTTAATTGTATATGGATGGGATTGAAAATGAACTTATTGAATATGGACTGTGTACACATTAGAATGATAGAATTGGATTTCAATGTTTATTGGTCCTGTTTATTTATACAGGCCAGAAGATGGCGAGCTAATTGTCCAGGCCTAGAGCCAAAAGAAAGGATTACACTTATGTGTGAAGATTTCCGCTCTCCTGCCTGTAGGAGGCTCCTTTTAGCCTGAGAACATTTTTTTTCCCCCTCATCCTGACTCCTGATACCTCATATCGGACTTTCACCACATCAGGCACCTTTCAGAAAACCAGCTTGTCTGCGGATCTGTTTACCCCAGCTTGGGGTCAAAGGACGAAAGGGTGTGGGTTTGGTCAACGGTGCGATTAATTTATTTTGTGTTTTGTTATTTTTTTTTTTGTTTTCTTGTTGGGATATTGCGCATATTTGTTTTCTTATTTATATGGCCTTTTAGATGTCTGTCTTGTTGAATCTGTAAGTATGTATAATCATTGTCTTTCTCCGTGAATATATCTCACTGGCACACTGCAAATCTCCAGACTCCGTGTCTCCTTCATAAGCCGAATGCTAGTCTTCTGAGAAACCAGCCCAATTGATTCATTTATTTAAATTGCGGTGTATTACATTTCTTAAATATACTACACTTATCATACACTGGAAGAAACCCTGAGTTTTTTTCTCACAGTCTGCTGTTAAATCCATTATTTGCTTTGAATTACTAAAATTATTTGTATTTGCAAGATGCCAGAATGACATCTACTTTTCTGGTCAGAAGAACCAGTTTGGTTAATTTTCATACTTAAAAGTTTGTAATTGAAGAATAACCCAAAAAGCTGTTTAGATGCATTAGTGGGTTAAAGAAAAGGGTTCATTGTTTGATTGATCATTATAAGCTTTTCTTTTGTCTTTTTGTACAGATCTCCCACAATGCTGTGTGCGTAAAGATGACGAGGTTCTCAATGAGCTCATCAACCAAAAGAGGAACTCCACTTTAGATCAAGAGGAAAAAGAACAAAAAACATTCAAGGAGAAGAAGAAGCGCCTCTGCACCAGTAAAGATGAAGAGCAGCTTGTGCTGAAACAACAGACTGATGACATTTTGGAGAAAATTTCTAATGTGCAAATAATTCACAATGAAACAGAACCACAAATGAAACAACTCATCTCTCATGACCCTCCTGATAGCCAGGTTCAGGAAGGAAGAAATTCTGAAGACCCAAGAAAAAGCGATGACAAGCAGAAACTAAATGAAATATGTCAGAAAGCCAAACAGGTGAAAAGCACAATTGAGAGTTCAAAATATAAAACACACAAGAAAGCTCACCCAGACCGGGCAGGTTTATTGACAACACACATGAGAACTCACATGGGCAAAAAACCCTTCACCTGTTCAACTTGCGGAAAAAGTTATGGCCACAAGGCTGGATTAATTTATCATATGAAAGTTCACTCGGGTGAGAAACCTTTCTCATGTGTGACATGTGGAAAATGTTTCATAAACAAATATAATTTAGTTGTTCACATGACGATTCACACGGGAGAGAAGCCTTTCTCGTGTGTGACCTGTGGAAAAGGTTTCTCTCAAAGAGGACAATTAACTATTCACATAAGGACTCATACAGGTGAGAAGCCTTACTCATGTGAGACCTGTGGAAAAAGTTTCTCTAGAAAAAGCAAATTAACTGAACACATGAGGACTCATACAGATGAGAAGCCTTACTCATGTAAGTCCTGTGGAAAGAATTACAAGACCAGAAACGGTTTATCTTATCACATGAGGACACATACAGGTGAAAAGCCTTTCTCATGTGGGACCTGTGGAAAAGGTTTCTATGATAACAGTCAATTAACTCTTCACATGAGGACTCATACAGCTGAGAAACCTTTCACCTGTGGGAAATGTGGAAAAGGTTACAATCAGAAAGGAGCTTTAACTGCTCACATGAGGACTCATACCGGTGAAAAGCCTTTCTCATGTGAGACTTGTGGAAAAAGTTTTGCTAAAAAAATCTGTTTAACGTCTCACATGATAATTCATAGAGATGAGAAGCCTTTCTCATGTGGGACCTGTGGAAAAAGTTTTGCTCGAAAATACTGTCTAACTTCTCACATGATAACTCATAGAGATGAGAAGCCTTTTTCATGTGGGACATGTTGGAAAAGTTTCTACACACTAAACAATTTAACTTCTCACATGAGAACTCATACAGATGAAAAGCGTTTCTCATGTGGTACTTGCGGAAAACGTTTCCTATATAAATCAACTTTAGATTATCACAAGATGGTTCATACAGGTCACAAGCCTTTCTTATGTGGATCCTGTGGAAAAGGTTTCCGTCTAAAGCGCTTGTTAACTGATCACATGACAACGCATACAGGTGAAAAGCCTCTCTCATGTGGTGCTTGCGGAAAAGGTTTCCTTTATAAATCGGCTTTAGAGTCTCACATAATGGCTCACACAGCTGTGAAGCCTTTCTTATGTGGAATCTGTGGAAAAGGTTTCCAACTAAAATACAGTTTGACTTCTCACATAAGGACTCATACAAATGAGAAGCCTTACTCATGTAAGTCCTGTGGAAAGAATTACAAGACCAGACGAGGTTTATCTGATCACATGAAGACACATACAGGTAAAAAGCCTTTCTCATGCGGTACTTGCGGAAAACGTTTCCTATATAAATCAACTTTAGATTATCACAAGATGGTTCATACAGGTCACAAGCCTTTCTTATGTGGATTCTGTGGAAAGGGTTTCCGTCTAAAACACAGGTTAACTGATCACATGACAACACATACAGTTGAGAAGCCTTTCTCGTGTGATGCTTGCGGAAAAGGTTTCCTTTATGAATCAGCTTTAGATTCTCACATGATGGCTCACACAGATGTGAAGCCTTATGTGGAACCTGTGGAAGAGGTTTCCATGTAAAACAGTTTAGCTTCTCACATGAGGACTCCTACAAATGAGAAGCCTTACTCATGCAAGTCCTGTGGAAAGAATTACAAGACCAGAAAAGGTTTATCATATGACATGACGACGGATACAGGTGAAAAGCCTTTCACCTGGCTGGACACCACACAGCACGACGAACCCGATTGAACCGTTATACCTAGGATTTCTGTCGGCTAATGTGGCTCTCAGGGTTTGAAAATGGTCCGACAACTTGTGTAATGTGCGCTGGACAATTAGACTAAGGAAATGAAGGGAGGGTCAGTGGAGGGCACCAGAGCTGAGCTTTGTCATCCAGTGTCATGGAAAAATACAGGGAGAAACGATAACGCCGATAATTTAAATGGACTCATACTTTTTTTTATCATTCATCAATTGATCTATCGTTTATCGCGACAGGCCTAATTGTATGTCTTTTCTGTTTTATACTACTTACATACTTTTGCCTAGAATATGTATGTTTGATGTTACAAATTAAATGCTCATTGAGATTTTTTTTTTTTTTTTTCAAAATCTGAAATTCAATATATTTTGTTTATTTTCTCTTGGGTTTCTGATTCAGGTGGGAAATAAAGTGGATTTTGTGGTGGCAACAATGCAGCTAATGCTATGTTTTTCTAAGTTATGAAACCTGAGATGTTTTCCTCTTTTGTTAAAACATCTGCATTTACTTTATTCTTGTTGAATTTACTCTAAGCTGAAGTTATTTTTTTTATCCATTTGTCTTCATGTGGGTATTTGTTTGAGGTTTTTATTATTTAGAATATTAGAAAGTGAATTGTTGATATAGCTTAAATTTCACATTGAAATGTTTGCAGCAAAAGTTGTTTTTATATAGTTCTTGGATAATAAAGTTTTTTTACCTTAATGATGGTCTTTTTCTTTTTTCAGTTTAATAGATCATTAGAACATGATTAAATATTTAAATATTTCAAGGAAATTTTTCAGGCAGTTTTCCCTTTTCAGAGAGCCGGCTCTTTATTTATGAACATCTGCAGCCCCATATAATAACATAATTGGACAAATAGGAATGTCATGTATGATACATCTTTTATATTTCTGTGCTCCCTATGTGAAAAGCCTTATACTTCCTTAATTTTATGTATTTGTTCTGTTACGAAAGCAAACGTCCTGTATTTTGTACAATATTTTAATCAAACTCAAAGCAAATCTAGTTTGGTTTGCCACATGAGAATTCACACAGGTGAGAAGCCTTTCTCATGTGTGACCTGTGAAGAAAGATTTACCAGCAAAGCAAGTTTAGATGGTCACAGGACCACTCACGCAAGTCAGAAGACTTTCTTATGTGGGACCTGTGGAAAAAGTTTCTGTTATCAAAGCAGTTTGACTCGTCACATGAAGACTCATACAGGAGGAGCAGCATAAACTGATCCTCAAGTACCAAGACAGTATCTCACAGTTTAGAAGCAGAGTAATTACAGCTGGGTAACATTTCTTTAATGTAGTAGCTTAGAGAAGGAAAGCATTTAATATATACTGGCTGATCAGACCAATTAAGACACAACAGGGATAACTAAACAGAATACAATTACGAACACAAAAACAAATAACAGTACGGCTAAGTTTGGCTAAACTAAAGACCTCAAAAATTAAAATCAAAAATAAAGTTTAAATACTAATATTTACTTAAATACAAAACTTATTCAAACAATGAAACTACAAATGTCCCCTGCCAGCAGGAACTAGTGGTGCAGTCCAATCAGCATTTAAGCCTGCTAAGGCCTGGCCCCCATCTTTTGTTTCGAGAAACAAAAAGCGTGTTGTGATCGATTAAATGCGCTGTTACGTCATTGTGCCTGTCAACCATGTAACACTGAGTGGAGTGGTTGACAGCTCCAAGATGGCCGCTGTTGTATCAGATAGCCATACGCTGTCAGGATCAGGATAGCATACATGCAGTGAGTACGCATGCCCGCGCATGCGCATTAAGAAGTCAGTGGAGTTGTCAGTTCAGCATACGCAACAAGTTATGACGAAAATAAGTCATTAGATTGTTTATAATATGACATAATATGATAACTATATAGATATACATGCGTTGTCGTGGTTTCAAAGTGTATTTAAAGCAGGTCTGGCTGCAGCTGGATGCCATACAACTGTTAATAACCAAGTGTATGATGATCTACGTCATGATTCTATGTTGCTGATTAAATAAAATCATATGGTAATGACTGCGTATACATGTCTGAGCTAAGCGTAGCTATCTGACAGCGTATGCTGATCTGACAGAACACTGCCCTAAATCTCTCTGTCCTTATGTCTATGTTGAAAACAGCATTTTACTGCCATGTATTTTGATCCGAAAGCAAACTGAATTTGCTTTTTTTTCTTCTGAATTTATGTGTTGTAAATTCAGAAAAATTCTGAAAAACTCCTTCGGAGTTTTAATAGTCAGTGTGGAAAATCCAACCAGTCCTGAACCTTAGTTAGAATGGTGTTCATGGCCTGACTTACAATCAGGCCATGAACTACTGTCCTGCTTGTCAATCACATGGTTGCATTATTGGTTCAAATGCTGACATGATCATAGCTTCTTCACAGAACATCTTTTCAAAAGCATCTTTGTATTTTATGGTTGAGTTGAACTACTAGTAAGTCTCCACTCCTCATCCTGCTTTCATTGTTTTTGATCTTTTATCTTTCCTACGTTACATTTTGAATGTATGTTTCTAGCTTGTGTAACCGGGCGGTTTTATTGGAAGACATGTGTTGCATCCAGTGATTGTAAATTCCCACCGGGTTTGGGCCCTTGAATACATCTAGGTCCCGTTCCCCACCGTCACTTCCGTTTTCAGCCTTGTCGGGCTCATTAAGCGTATATAGGCACCGGGTGTGCACGCCAATCTGTGTGTGTTTGTTGGGTCCGTCGTTCGAGTTGGCTCTCAGGGCAGATGAGCGCTGGCGCCCTGCTCATCGGGTTGCTGTGAGTGTTCGGATCGTGGACATTTAATACTAGTAGGATAAATGGATTTTTGATGTCACTACTCTACCTGTCTATTATTGTCAGCAGATGCATCATTGTTTTCTTTTGGTATTGCAGATTGCTGCTGTTGCCTATTGTGCTCCCACAAACCATACAGAACCACAAACAGTGCAGAACTCCAAACAATGCATAGCTCTTTATATTTTTATTAGCTTGCTGGGCACAGCCTTAGGACTGGGTTGGGGCAATGTGGGGTTTGTTTTCTTTTGTCTAACATTATTTTGTTTTTGTGTTTCTACTAATTTGGTTTGCATTTGTGTTTGGTTCCAATTGCTTCTAGTCTTGTCCTGGGTTGTTGAGCCTTATTGAGTTTTAAATTAGAATAATAAAGTCTATTTTTAATACTGTAAAAGAATCTATAAATAAAATCTATTTTGTATGTAACCCATGTTAATTTAACAAATATGAATTATAGCCTGTAGTACACTACATTGTCGATAGGTGGCAGTAAATGGTTTCAAGTAGTCTAAAACTACATTGATATGCCGCAGAATATGGACTAGAATAACCAGAAGAAGAAACTGGAAGAAACGTTTTGTGGTCATTTTATTGACAAAACTGTGTTATTTTCAATATTTTTCAAGAACTAGTTTTCATCTATGGTTGATTTTTCGATTCTTGTGTAACCGGACCCGGGAGAACTTTGTTTTTGATATTACATTTATTTGTTTTTTGATGCGAATCTCCGGTGAGTTCTGTGCTATAATTTTCTTCGTTAGCTATCGATTAGCCACAAGCTAATATTTTGCTGTTATGTATTAAAAGTTATATTGTGATTTCATTTTATAGTTCAATGTTGAAAGGAAAAAAAAAACAATCGGCGATACTTGTTTATGATTAAGAATGTATGTTTTGTATGAAAATTAGCAATGCTTACGGCTAACTCTGAAAGGCTATTCTGCTAATATTGCGCCTTTTTTTTTTCTTCTTGGAATACTGATACCGATGAGGTATCTAGTGACAGTGAGTTATTTATTCCACTGTATGGAATTGAAGAATGCTAGAAAAAGATATGTCAATTCAGTGAATATTATGTTGTGATGTTATCGCGGCTGTAAATTATTTTATTTACATGGAGTGAAAGATAAACTTTCACTGAAATGACTTAGAATGGTGTATCACAAAATAGTAAAATACATTTCTGCTATATGCAGGTTGTTTTTTTTTGTGTTGAGAGACATCGTGTGAAGAACGGCGAGCCAGGATCCAAAAGAGCAGATTGAGATTGTGTCCACTACGACGTCAAAGAAGAACCTTCTTCTGTTCCACTTGATCGGTGGGATTGCACATATTAACACTACCCGGGTAGCTACCACATAACATTCAGATCTGAAAACCGAATTGAACTGAAAAAAAAAGAAAGGAAAAACTTTTGAACTCGACTGACTTGACTAAGGACTACCAAAAGGAAACATTGACTATTTTGTTCTGTTTCATTATTGTCAAAATGTGTAATAAATGTGTTTTGTTCAACACATTGTTTCCCTCGCTCCTCCTGAGTTGAACCTAGTTCTGATGTGCTATTTAATTGTAAAGATTCATAGTCACCGATTCCTTTGTTACAGGTGCCTTACCAGATAAGTACAAAGTCTTACATGTATACTATTTCTGTTTCCTCATTTTCAACCAGACCTACCTGGGTACAATTAATGGGAAACTCTAGACCACTTGATATTTCAGTAGTCTACCAGTTGGCTTCAGGGCCACGTCCTCAGTCACAATCCGGGTTCTTTCCCCCGTGTTACACTTGCAATTATATTCAGGCCTTTGATTCACCTGTGGTTGTGATAAAGTTGGTAGTCGGTGAACGACAGAGACGAACCATTGCTTCAGCTCTGCAAAGATCAGGCAGATGTAGAAAACAATTCATGATATGCAATGCACTATTTTATGATGTCTTTAATAGCTACTTGTCCTTCATCGCTGTAATCAATTACAGCTTGACCAGAGGATGTCACCCTATTCAAATTTACCAAATGCATCGAAATGCTGGAATCAATTCAGCAGCATCAGAACCAGGGACCTAAAATGGCTGAACAACTTGGTAAAGAAGGCTGGTTCTGGAGGAGACTCTGCAGATGATGATGCAAAGAAGCATTCTTCATAAAATTAATAAAATTATGGACAACACTGACCATCCACTTCATAAGACTGTCTTGGGAAAGCAATAACTTCAGTGTCTTTGAAGAATCTGAATTAATGTGAGTTGCAACTTTTAATTTCCCTTTAGAATCAATAAAGTATTTTTAAATTAGAATTGAAGTTAGTATTGACCAGGTGACACTAACAATTGTTGAGCTCTGCTTTTCAGAGCTCAATCACTGCAGCAGGCAGCATATGTTAAAGTTCATCTGGTCAATACACTGAACCTTTTAAAACATTATAAATTGGAGCACGGAATCCAGAGTTTTTTTTTTTTGTTTGTTTTTTGTTGCATTCTATGCAATGGTTTATCATTACTGTATGAAAGTATTTATTGGGAAAGATCAATAATGTTGCCAGAAAAAGGAGAATTGGGTCCATTGCAAGAAAGGCGCTCAAATAAACTGCAAACAAACGCAATAAAATCTTCAAACAAAAAAATGTGACCCAGCTGAAACAGCAGCGTTTTGCTGCCATGAACTTTGATCCGGAACGAAACGGAATCTGGCTCAGTCACGTGGTACGGCCCGCTCGTGCGGCTTCAAACGTCATATCCTGATCCGCAACAAAACCCTCGATACGCGCTTCATAAAACTCCTCCGGGTTTACTCGACACTTGTCCCGAACCCTCGGCACAGAAGGCACATCAATAGTTTTATATAAATATGTGAATATTTGCTGTAAAATGTCTTCAGTTCCGCCTCAGAGCTGTTAACTCCTGAACTGCTGAAATATCATTCACAGAGTCGGAAGAAATCAGCGTCAAGATGGAGGAAAAGATGGAGGATCAGCGCAGACTGCTGGATTTTACCCGGATACCAGACATCATCTTACACTGGAAAGGTACGAAACACCTTCACGATTTACTGATTATATGAGGCGCGGAACGGAGAAAAGCTGGAGGAAAAACACGAGAACAATGTGTGAGACCGATTTAGGATGAATGTTTTACAGAATTAAATTAAGTGAAACAGAGCACTGGTTGGAAAAAGGGACGTTCGGCAAGGCAGGTCGATTACAAAATATATTATTACTATTCCAAAAAGTGCATCAGTGTTTGCTGTGGCAGGCAGTTCTATTATTAAATGGGCGATAGTAAGTAAGTAAGCTTTATTTATATAGCACCTTTCACAGACATAAAAATCACAAAGTGCTTTACAAAAAAGGAAACATCAATAATGTTATTTTCCCAAACTTAGAGATAAAGTGAGATATTTACATATAAAAAAATATACAAGCACATTTTCCTCATGGGGAAATTTGGACCTGAACTTAGAATTACCGAAATCTTTAATTTGCTTTACTTTCTCTTGTCAGATTTGTGGAAGAAGCTTTCGATTAAAATCAAACTTATTTGGTCACATGAAGAGTCATACAGGGGAGATGCCTTTCTCATGTGAGACTTGTGGAAAAAGTTTCAGAGTCAAAAATCTTCTTCGTCACATGAGGATTCATACAGGTGAGACGCCTTTCAAATGTGCAAGCTGTGGAAAGAGGTTCAAAGACAGTAGTTGTTTATACAGTCACATGAAGACTCATACAGATAAGAGACCTTTCCTATGTGAGACCTGTGGAAAAAGTTACAAATACAAAAGCAGTTTAATTGGCCACATACATACACATTCTAATATGAATATTTTCTTATGTGGGACCTGTGGAGAAGGCTTCAGTCAACAATCCTTTCTAACTGGTCACATGAGAATTCACACAGGTGAGACGCCTTTCAAATGTACAAACTGTGGAAAAAGTTTAATGAATAGGAGTAATTTATATCGTCACATGAAGATCCATACAGATGAGAAGCGTCACTCTTGTCCAACCTGTGGAAAAAGGTTCCGTCAAAAAGTTAATTTAACTGTTCACATGAAGACTCACACAGATGAAAGGCCTTTCTCATGTGGGACCTGTGGAAAAAGTTACAAACACGAAAAGAATTTATTTGGCCACACACATACACATTCAAATGTAAAGCCTTTCTTATGTGGGACCTGTGGAAAAGGCTTCATTTATAAGTGCAATTTAACTCGTCACATGAGGACTCATACAGGATGACGGCATAATGTGACCCTCAAGTACCAAAACACAGTGACTCCCAGTTTGGAAGCAGAGTCATTACCGCTGGATAACATTTCTATAATGTAACAGCTTGGAGAAGAAAAGCATTTAAAGTGGGATGTTTATCTAAAAGAATAAACCTTCACATTCTGTCCATTTTGTCTTTTTATTTAAAAGGATTTTTAAGTGAGATATTAAGTCTTATGAAGTTATGCATGTACAGGTGCTGGTCATAAAATTAGAATATTGTGATAAAGTTCATTATTTTCCATAATGTCATGATAAAAATTAAACTGTCATATATTTTAGATTCATTGCACACCAACTAAAATATTTCAGGTCTTTTATTGTTTTAATTTTGATGATTTTGGCAAACAGCTCATGAAAACCCAAAATCCTTGTCTCAAAAAATTAGAATATTATGAAAAGGTTCTCTGAACGAGCAATAAAATAAAAATAATCATCTGAATCAACAAAGTAACTCTAAACACCTGAAAAGGATTCCTGGGGCCTTTAAAAACTCCCAGCCTGGTTCATTACTCAAAACCGCAATCATGGGTCAGACTGCTGACCTGACTGCTGTCCAGAAGGCCATCACTGACATTCTCAAGCAAGAGGGTGAGAAACAGACATTTCTGAACGAATCGGCTATTCGCAGAGTGCTGCATCAAGGCACCTCAGTGGGAAGGAAAAAGTGTGGCAGAAAACGCTGCACGAGAAGAGGTGACCGGACCCTGAGGAAGATTGTGGAGAAGTCTGAAGGGGTTCAAAACACAACCCAAGGTGACCAAACACCTGGGCTTCCTCTGCAGATGATGTTGATGACCTGGAGATTTTCTTCAATGATTTAGAGCGCCATCATGTGGTGAAAACTAAAAAATATTTTTTATCAGCTTTGAGTCCAGCTGCATCATTTTCAGTTTAACTTTTCAAATCCTTTGTGGTTATTATGTATTTCAAGCTCAATTAAATGCAATAAAGTATTTTTATAATCTGCAGCAATGGGTAACCAGTAGCAACCACCAATCAGCATTTTAAATGTGGGAACTGGGATCTGAACACAACTTTAAATGAACATTGTCACTCCAGACAGCAAGCGGAGAGTTTTGGTACCTTTGGTACAAATATTTGATTTTAGAACACAGTCTGATATAAATCCTGTCAGATAAAAGATCTACTGTCTGAAACTTTTATCAGCGGCTGACAATAATATGCATGACAGATTATGAGAGGAAGGAGTTTATAAAACCTGACTGTCCTGATTTTCAGTCAGTGTCACTGAAGCTGTGCATCTGGAAGGAGCTCTGAGTTAATCTGGACTCCAGGAGATGGAAACATTTCTGAGCAGGTCTGTTTGTTTTACTTCATGTTACTAAAATTCTGCTTTTATATTTCTACGTTAAATTCTTGTCTTTTGGCCATTTTTGCTGCATTTTGTTTTGCTGATTTTATGAAGATTGTTTGCTTTGGTAATCATTTTGATCAACATTACAGCTGATTTTACACAGACTAAATATTGTTGCAAAAGCTGCAAAAATAGTTTCACTCCATCAGTTTTATGAAAATTAAATCTAAATAAATTATTTGATCAAATCAGTAAAATGTTTGCATGAACTTCTCAAATAAGCTTTATTAGATTTTTTTTGTCCTCTAATCAGTGAAAACTCACTCTTTCATGTATTTATTAACACATTCACTTAAAAGTTGATGTAAACACAGAGACTTTAATGCAAAGTGGACGTTTGATTTCAGCGAGTGAAGGAATGCAAAAGGTTTGGTCTAGGAAGAGAACAAAGGACACAGAGCTGTTTGGTTATTTCAGAAATGTTTCTTCTTTGACTGCTTTTCTTCTCCAACTCACATCAGTCAACGGAAAAGCAGAGATGATTAAATGCTGATGAGGGAATTAATTAATTTGATTCAGCTGTGGAGGAGCATTTAGGATTAGGTTCCTTTTGATTATTGTTTCTTTACGTTGCTGTTCTTATTTCAGGATTTCCCCTCTTTGTTTATTTTAGATCCATTTCCTTCAGTCTGTCCCTTAGCACAACTTTTTTCTATCTCCTCTGCTCTGCTTGTGCTTTTTCTCCAGTTCCTCATTGTTTGATTACATTCCTCTTGTTCTTCATCTTTTCCCTTTTTCCTCTATTTGGTGGTTGGAGATGTGAATAACCGCCACGTGCTGGTAAGGAGAGGAGAGAGGATCGGGATGCTAAATATATATTACACACATTTTAAAATTTAAAAAATAAAGCAAAACAGAAAACTATATCTTCTATATTATTTTGTTTTCTGTTTAAGACACCATGGGAAAAGAAAAAAAAAACAAAGCTTGAACCATGTTGAAATGATTTTCTGAAAGTAAAGTTTCAGAAACAGCAGGAGTTTTTAAAGAGACAGAGGCCCAATGCTAATGTGTGAAATTAGGATGTAAAACTAATTTTAAGTCATATTTGATATACTGTATGTAGAATTTTTAAAACAACTAAAGGAAAACGCATAAAGTCAAGCTTCTCCAGATGAAGGGTCACTTTCACAAAATGTCTTCTGTCGTTGATCCAACATGTTTAATGTCCTCAGTTATAGACAAGCTGCAGATTTTCACCAGTGTTAATGAAGTGAAATATGATCAGGATCAGATGCTGTGGATGTTCGTCAAAGTCCTGCTGCCTCTCCTCCTCCTCTTCCTCTGTCAGGATGAAGATGATCTCCCTGCTGCTCCTCATCCTCAGCTCATGTCTCTGTGGTCAGTCTCCATCTTGTCTTTGTGACAGAAAGCTCTCTAGATGGAGCTGAAAGACTCCCATGTTCCAGTTCTCAGTGTGTCTGCTCCTCTCTTTCCCTCTCTGTCTCCTCAGCAGCAACATTTGTAGTGAATGTGACCCAGAGCAGCTATGAGGCAGAGGAGAACCACAGCATCACTCTGGAGTGGACCTTCACCACCAGGACTAACTCCTCTCCTGCCTCCCTGTTCATCTACTGTAAACTAAGACAGAATCAGACGGATTTTGTCATCTATCATGTATTTATGGGGGTGGAAGCTTCTTTATACCTGGACAAAAGATTTACAGGACGAGTCCAGAGTGACAAAGACGTCCTCAGAGAAGGACGAATCAGACTCCATGTGTCCAGACTGAGGACTGAAGACTCTGGTCTGTATCTGTGCCAAGTCAACACAGATTATGGATGGGGCTCTGCCAGCCTTCAACTGAACATTAAAAGTAAGTTTAACTCAAAATGCAATACTCTGTGTTTTTAAAAGATTTATTTCTGTAAAACTCAAAGAGCTGCAGACGTCCAACCATTATGAATTTAAACTAAAGAGATGATCTTGTTTGTTCAAACTTTAATTTGTCAAACCTGAAATGAGGACAAAACCAAAATTATGCCAAGAGTTTGACTCATTTAGAAATAAAGCAACTGAATAACAGAAACATTGTTTCTAAAAACAAAATTTAAATCACCACATGGTGGTTTGTCTCCTTTTCTGTCCAGCTGCTTTGCTCTTATTAAGGGGACATTTTGGTCAAAACCGTGACTCCTCTGTTAGCCAAGCAGAAAAGTGATGGATGGGAGAAACATTTAGTTTGTCCTCAATTATTATTTGTGGAGTCTGTTTAGTTTGAAAGAGCTTTTAAAATCTTTAAGGTTTATGAAAACACTGATATTTCAATAAAACTGTTAAAAAGCACTTGAAGCACATGGAGGAATGTTTGTTTCAACCAGGTTATAAATCAATTTTGATTATTGATTTCTTTTTCTGAATATTTAATTGGTAAAAAAAAAATATTTTTTCTCACCAGTGCACTGATGATGTTAGCATGTATCGGGTCTTTGATTTCAGATCAACATAAGAGTTTTTGGAAATATTTTCTGTCATTTTTTATTTCTGTTTTAGAAAAAAATATTAAAATTGGATTTGGAAAGAGGCATATTTAATCAGTCACTCCTGAATGTTTTCCTGATTCTTTCAGAAGCTCCAGCTGTTGGACCCACAGTGAGAACCAAACCAGAGAGGAAAGGAACCTCTGCCTACCTGGGACTGATATCTATTCCTGTCGTCATATCTGTTCTGATCTTTGGTTTTATTTTATTTATCAGAAAGAAGAGACAAAAAAAATATTTTGAGGATACAAAACGTCAGATTCACAAACCTTAATTCTGTGTCACATCAGTTTTAATTTGACTGAACCAACAAAACTTTCAGTCCAAGATTCATCAGGATTTGCTGAAACAGACGGATGTTTTTACAATGATGGCAAATATTTATTTCACATGTAGCTACATGTTTAGAACAACCATGTAGTGTTAGAATGTGTTTTAATAAATTTTGGTGAAATGGTCTTTGTTTAATTTAACTTGAGCAGAAACACCAGTTTGTAACCTGAGAGCCAAACTTTCGTGTTGCTGATGTAAACTCGGCTCCTTCCTGGTCACGAGTGAATCTGATGCAACAAATGCAGATAATCACCTCATTAGGGGACTTTCCTCAGTCACTGCCTGTCCGTCTCTCCTGCTGAAAACATTAATAATCACAGTGAGGAGGATCGGATCACCACTCCACTACAAAGTAAGTATCTGAAACTTTTTTTACTTTAAAATAGATTTAAAGTTATTAAAGTTGCTGTTATTTATGTTTACCATAGATAACCAACCTGGTAATTTCCAGATGCTCCTTATTTATATTTTTATTAATTGAATTTTTAACAAATGAGATTGTTTGACATAAATACTAAAATAAGTTTCTACATCTTAACAGAAATTACTTCTGTATGTTCTAAAAAAGAAAATTAGGAAGGAAGTTTGTAAATAAAACCTGAGCTTACGAAGGATAAAAGCTTTTAGTTTTCTTTAAATGCTCCATGAAAATGTTCTTTGTTTACACAGGCATTCCAGTTTTTAAGTTTAATATCTTTGTGATCTGTTCTACATTTTCAGAAATTCGTAATCATGCAGTCAAATCATTAACATCCTCAACATGTTGATGTGTCTGACATTAAAACATTAAACAAAACTCATAGTTTTTATTGGACTAGTTTCATTTTTGTCTTATTCTTTCACCAAAACCCAATTAGCAGTTAAACGGTTTCATTATCTGTGTAAAAAGCTGAGAGAAGGTAATTCTTCTTCTTTAAAAAGAAAAGTTAAACAGTGTCGGGTTTAAAGTTGATAAATGTTGTGGTGTCATTCCAGGTCAGACCTCAGAGCGATGAATCCAGAGAAAGAGCCTCAGTCAAACCCGTTTTTCCGGTTCGGATCACGTTACGACGAGCTCTTGGATCCCGGCTACGGCTGACAAACAAACAAACCAACTGGTTCCTGGAAAAACTGCAGGTGGAGAATCAGAACATCTGACAACATTTCACTGCCACCTTCAGGCTCAGAGTAGAAAGTTTTTCATTCCAGTCACTATAAGAACGAATGTTCTGGGTTTGTTCTTCTTTATGAGCTGCTGGCAGAAACGTCTCTGGTTTTTATTTGTTGCTGCATTTTCTGTGAGGTTGTTTTCATTTTATCCAAACAAAACAGTAAATTTTGAAGTTTAATTTCCCTCTAATCTACTTTAATGAAGTGAATAATATCCTGAAGGTGTAATAATTTGAGCTGCCATGTTGCGTGTTCTTTAATCCGTAGATAAATGTTCCCCAACAGATCCAGTGATAAAATAAGTTCCTGTTTTCATCAGTTTATTGGAAATAAAGATTCTCCTTTCAAAACACAACAAAGTGTGAGAATAAGAACTAGTAATACTGTACCGACTGTAATGAATTAAAATATTCAGAAACTAAGCTGATTTTTGACTTTTAAAAATTAATTCTATTTAGTCTTGTTTTCACTTTTAATTTACAGAGGTTAGATAAAAGACTTTCTTTTTATTGAACAATATATTATTGAGCTTATTGTTTATGCTAAACTGAACTTTATGTGGGAAATTTTACATTATTTATTAATCTACTGACATTACATAATTTCCGGTTAATTTAATGACTTTAACGTAATGAAATGTTAATTATCTAATGATTAATTTTCACTTTTGGGCTTTAGCTCTTATTGTTGTTCCTAACAGTTATTAATCAACCATAAATTAAACGTTTCTGTTTCTAAAACACTGAAATGTTCCTCTTTGTTTTGCAGAAACGTCTCTTTGGTTTTTGTTCTTCTGACCCTGAGAAAATGAGTTTTTTCCTCCTCCTTCTTCCGCTGACCTGCACTGTACAGGGTGAGTTTTCATGCAAACTCTGTTGTTGCTGCAGCTGTAAGTGCCACAGCTTCCTTGTGGCGACACGGTCAACATGGCCGACGTTTCTCTGCAGGAACATTTGCAGGTGAATCTCCTCCACCTGTTCACGAAACAGAAGAAGACGACAACTTCACGCTCGGCTGGGACAGCCTGACCCAGACCAACACGACCCTCACCAAGCTGATCTGCTTTCTCCTGCTGAGTCCTCCTAAAGTCCTGTATCGAGGGATAAACGGAGCCGAGGTCCCAGAGTCTCAGGATGGACAGTTTTCAGGACGGGTTCAGAGTGACGGGAGAGAAGGACGACTCAGACTCCACCTGTCCAGACTGAGGGCTGAAGACTCTGGACGTTACCGCTGTGACCTGGCTGCTTATGACCAGGTGTGGAGGAAATGGGAGCTGCAGGCTTCAGGTAATCCAGCGGATCTCCCCCTCTGCTTGCAGCTCATTAGACCTGATCTCTGTTGATCATCACGGATAAAACTGTTTTCTCCCACAGTAACGTTTGTCCTGAACGTGACCAAAACCTCTCGTGGAGACACGTCTGGGTCTCTGAACACACCGAAGCCTCGCCTCGGAGCTACTCCAGGTGGGTCGGCTGTTACCATGGCAACCACGTATAGGCTACAGCCTGATCAACGATATGAAGAAATTTGGTTTATGGGGAAACATTTATGCAAAAGCATTTTTTGCAAAAACAAAAACTTCTGGAAACTTTGTTGTTAATCACGTTAAAATTTGATCGTCTGCATCAGAGTCAATGTTCATCTTGTTCATTTCATATGCAGCAGGTGTTGTATGAATAAACACTTTGTGTTTTATTTCAGATAAACAGCTTGAAATAGCTGCAGTCATTATTGGCACAGTGCTACTTGTCCTTGCCCCTGTAATTCTGGCTTGTATATTTTTTGGAAGACGATGCTCAGGTGAGTGTTATTTACTGTTTATTGGATCTGTTCTGCGTTTTGTTGTTGGTCCATGTTGACTTCAGTGTGTTTCCAATCCTACAGGTCCAATCGGAAATATGGATCAATTAGAGGACATAGAAATAAACGGGGATGATTTTGAAGAGATGAACCTTATGATCAACCACTGAGCTGATCATCTTCCATCCACATCCAGATGCTCATCTTTTCATCTGATTTTTGGCTCCAGAGACTCTTCTAACAAATTACCATCAGTTTATAGACTAGAAACTGTCTAAGTGTATTTATTAACCCCAAAAACATCCTGACAATTTCCTCCTTCCCTGATCCCTGATCTACTTTGTTGTCATTTCTGACATATACAGTATATATATCTATCTATCTATATATATATATATATATATATATATATATATATATTTTATTTTTTTTTATTTAACATGCATCAGAATTTTAGTGGGGCAGCTTGAGTATACCATGCAAATCAATAATAAAATAAAACAGGGTGTTATGGCCAGTGGCCTTGTGAATGTTTTCTTTTCTGTATATCTGCGGCTTCTGGTCAGGTTGGCTCCACTTGGAGGTGGATGCAGCCCTGTCTTCCTGAGGCCTACAACGATTGGCTCACCAAATGCCAGCTCCACCAATCCCTGAAGAGGCCTCCCTTTTAAAATCCCAGACTTCCTGGAGGAAGGCGCGGCTGATTCTTTGTTCGGACAGCTTGCCACTTTGTTGGGTGTTTGGTTGACTGCTGTAAACTTGCTTGGTTAACTCTGATAGCTTTGATAGCTTGTGTAACTGACTGTCCCTGTGGGGACCTTTGTATC